CCCCAAAACCCCAAAACCCCTCTAATGAAAAAAGTACGCTAAATTCAAATTTGAAAAATAAAAAATTTAAAAATGAAAGAAATCACGAGCGAAAATACAAAAAATATCAATAATTATGATACATTTGATGATCAAATTTTGAATCGTGATACGGATCTAAAGCCCAGAATGGACAATGAATAGAAAGGTATAGTCTTTACTCTAGTTTTTGCTGTTACTACAGTATTATCATAGTATGGGAATATCAGTTCCTTTTTTCTACCCTTTAAAGTAGAAAATCATCCTTCAATTACTGACTTGTAAGCAGGGCTTGTTATAGCGTAAGGATAAAAATATATATTCTTAACAAAAAATAGAAGTTTTGAAGTAGGCGGTTTATTCTCCTATCTTTTTGTCGCAAATATAATGGCCAAATTTGGAAGGAAAAACACTATAATAATAGGTTTTTCTTAGAGTTTTCTTGCTTCGATTGGTCTAGGTTTTAGTTCTTATATTTAGGATGAGTAAATATATATATATTTAACTTAATGATTAGCATCCTTTTCTATTTAGCCTCAATTTTGCTTAGATTTTATCAAGGTTTTGCAGATGCGCACATTCTGGTAGCTAGTAAGTATAATATTCTATTTTAATAAAAAGTACATCAAAATAAGTAGTGCTAATACTTTTGTATTTTCACTAAATTATTGAAAGAAAAATAAATTCCAATTGGTTAATAATTATTAAATTTTAGGTTTCGCTATTGCATCTGCAGAATTTAAAAAAAATAGAGGAGTAGTAATAGGTTATATGGAAGCTGGAGTTGGATTTGGATTTATGATGGGAGCTCCAATAGGATAAACCTTATAAAACTTAATGAGCTACTAGTTTATTTTCTTTGGATTTGGAGCATTTCAATTTTTTCCAGCCATGTTTGCAGCAATTTTACTCCCAGAAAGGATGAATAAGTCTATTGATGACTAAATTGATAACTTGGAAGCAAAGGATATAAAAGATGTTTGTTATGGAAATATTTTGAAAAACAAGAAAGTCTAGAATTTTATTTTTTTTACTATAATTGGAATGGTAGTCATGTTATTTAATTAAATGCTGATCACAAGATAGTTAGTAAAGTTAGGTATCCCACGAAAATTTACAGGTAATTACACTTTTTTAATGAATATTAGGTTATGTAATGGGTATAAATGGGCTAGCATATTTTATTTTTTGCATCATTTGTGGAATTTTGGTTGATAAAATAGAAAATTCTTAATTAGTCCAACTATCTTTCATAATAAGCACTCTTTCTTTATTTCTTCAAGGATCTCAAAATATTTTCTAGCTTTCAAGGTAAAAATATTTCCCTCAATTATATCAATATATAGATATTCTATTGAATTAATGCTTTTTGGATAGATACTTATGGAATTATCATGTGCACTCATATTAAATTCATTGCTTCCTAATATAATAAAATCAGTTGAAGAAAAAGAGAAAATACTTGAGGACAATAACTAACTAATTGATAAAGCTTCAACACTCTATAATCTATCATTTTCAATCATTTGCCTAGTTGCACCACTATTAGGTGGATAATTAAGTGACCATTTTGGATATTAGAAAGCTTGTGATTTAATGGGAATGACTTCAGCTTTAATTTGCTTTTTATTTTTCATAGCGAATCTGTTAATTCAGAATTCAAGGTAGTGAAGGTAAGAATAAAATTGAATAGTTTTAAATTAATTCAGTAATTAAGCAATTAATTAAAATATTAATAATTATAAATAATATTTAATACTCATTTTCATTAATAATAAATCCATAACAAATTGAATTTCTACTTGGTGTTGGGGTTTTGGGGTTTTGGGG